ACACATCTGAGAACTGTTTTAGTTTCCAAAAAAAAGACAACAATTTTCAATTTCAAAATCTGAAGAAAAAATATTATTTTCAAAACAATTTTTCATTCCCTATCCCCTGCATCATCCCTCGGACCACTACCTCCTCCCTCCACTCATTGAACATTTTTTCTTAATCTCATTTTATATTTTTAAAAACACATGTATGATGTACCAAATATTGTTTTTTATTTTGTTTTATGCAAAAACAAAGACAAAAGAACAAAAACATGGATAGACAAAAAACAGGGCATTACCAAGCCCCACCCTAACAACATGAGTTTCAAAAACAGGATAAGATAGGAATTCTTTATTCAAACTGAAAAGAAAAGAAAAGAAAAGAAGCCAAAAAAAAGATTCAAAATCCGTAGTGATAATCAAACAATTCCACTAACCCCTTTTATAAAACTGAATTATGCAAGCTGAACAAATAACGCCAAAAAAGAGATTATGCTTACAATTTCCTGACAAGTAGCCAAACCAAACTTGATTCCAGTTATGGCATGAAACCATGAATAGAGATTGCTACAAAATTTAATGACATTCAAAATTCAATCAAGCAATGCAAGCCAACTGGAACCAAACATATAATGTGTATGACTAGAAAATTAACAGTAAGCATTAATAGTCAGGAGGGGACTATGCATCAGTAAGTTTTTTTTCTATTAAAAAATAAAAATCCTTTTCCTCCTTGATTAGTTCACTAGTATTATAATACATAATAACACTCCTTGTACAGATCAAAACATGGACTCTATTCCACAGGTAAATCCAAATTGAATGATACATAAAGCACTTCGCATATTACCTTGCCATGAATGCCGCTAGTCATTTTAGCATTAAGACTCTATTTACATTATCAATTATAACTCATTTCTCAATGATTAATTCAACAATTATGTTGATAGAATATATATAAAACCATCTAAATAATAGAAAACACCTATGACAACCTTACAGAAAATAAACCTACTTTGCTGCCCACATCTCTATGGTTATCAATCATTTCATCCTCTGTTATTAATCTTTCTAATTTTCTCACTTTACAGCAACAACTAACATCTATCCGATCCGAGTTTGGATAGAAAACAAATTAATACAGTTATTACATAACATAGGTTTAACTAACATAGGTTTTTGCATAGAGAAAAAAGAAAAAGAAAAAAACAATGCCTAGTAGCCTCATTGGGAGCTTAGCTGGTTTCTTGTTCTTCATCATCTAGGAATTGAAAGAAAAATGAGCATATTCTCAATGGTAGTGTAAAGAAAGAACAGAGGAAAGCTTAGCACCTAATTGCATACCAAACATAATAATGAAATGAAGATGTGAACTTGTTCATCTCCTCCAACCTTCTCTTCATTTTTTAGTACATTAGTATTGCTTTTGTTTTGCCTTAAGTGGTGATTACATAGTAGATGTGGCTCAATTATTACGCTACTGAAATTTGAGACTAGTGTTAAAATTTCTTCCCATAACATCTTACACCAAGTTCTTCCCATAAAATGTCTTAACATAACATCTTCAATTGTCCTATATTTGTTAGTTATTTCGTCTTTATTATTTTGAAAACAGTACACATCGCAGTGTAGTCAAAAGATTCACCAATTTGAGCTGTAAATTTCTAGTTAATACCCCGATTAAAAGGTTGCATTTCATGACTCCTAAAAGAGGATCTCTAATGTGTTTGTGGAGAAGCTTGGTCCGAAATGCCACTAGATCCATTTGTCGCCTTATTTATACAATAAAATTCACATGAGTTTGCATAAATTTAGAAAATGATAATATATGATAAATACATCATTTGGATAGTTTCCCCGTGATGATACCAACAATTATAACTCGGACTAATTCCATAGGATACCATGTGATCATGTACAGCTTCTAGGGTCATGTATGAATTCACACATCTCATACATGGACATGAAATTGTCCATCATTAGATACATTGTGAGAAGCAAACTCCAAAATTCTTTAACCCATTGCACATCATCTCTTGACAATCTACTCTTTTTCATCCAACTCTTATCCATTGATTGATAATTAAATAAACTAAAGTACCATAAAATAAAATAAAAAGTTAAATACATTGTATAGAGTTATATATAGTAACATAAAAAGGCACTACCTAAACCTGCTTTGATAACTTCTAGACTTGCTATTTTATACCATATTTAGTTTCAAATCAAATTCGTGCAAGAAAAAGGCAATGATGATCCATAAGACGCGTATCCTAAGAAACACAAAACATAGAACAAAAAAAAAAATAAAAAAAAGGAAGCAACTTGTTTTACAACTAATATGAAAATAAATATTCGCTAGATAAGAACACTAAGACAAACTGTAAGTTCTTTTACAACTTTAAAGCGAAAATTACATGTTTTGCTATTCATTTTTCTACATGTTTTGTGAAGTATGGTGCGAAAATGGGTACTTGTCAAGACTCCTAAGACCATAAACAACAGTGATTCTATGGGTTACATAAAATAAACCTACTTTGTTGTCCACATCTCTATGGTTATCAATCATTTCATCCTCTGTTATTAATCTTTCTAATTTTCTCACTTTACAGCAACAACTAACATCTATCCGATCCGAGTTTGGATAGAAAACAAATTAATACAGTTGTTACATAACATAGGTTTAACTAACATAGGTTTTTGCATAGAGAAAAAAGAAAAAGAAAAAAACAGTGCCTAGTAGCCTCATTGGGAGCTTAGCTGGTTTCTTGTTCTTCATCATCTAGGAATTGAAAGAAAAATGAGCATATTCTCAATGGTAGTGTAAAGAAAGAACAGAGGAAAGCTTAGCACCTAATTGCATACCAAACATAATAATGAAATGAAGATGTGAACTTGTTCATCTCCTCCAACCTTCTCTTCATTTTTTAGTACATTAGTATTGCTTTTGTTTTGCCTTAAGTGGTGATTACATAGTAGATGTGGCTCAATTATTACGCTACTGAAATTTGAGACTAGTGTTAAAATTTCTTCCCATAACATCTTACACCAAGTTCTTCCCATAAAATGTCTTAACATAACATCTTCAATTGTCCTATATTTGTTAGTTATTTCGTCTTTATTATTTTAAAAACAGTACACATCGCAGTGTAGTCAAAAGATTCACCAATTTGAGCTGTAAATTTCTAGTTAATGCTAGCTACACCATCTAACAACATACCTCTCCAGCATAATGGCAAATACCAAAAGCTCCACCTCTTTCTCCTTTAAAGCAAGGATTACCACTCAAGTGTTGCTTAAGCTTATTAGCAAAGGTCAAATCAGTGGCCTTGGGGAAATTTGAATCTTCATCCAACAAAGATATTAGCCCTATAGGTTTCTGCAAAATGCATAGCAGTGAAGCCATTAACACACAATCTACCACACATGAAGGAGTGAATTTAAATATGAAAACCTATAATTAGGTTTCATATAACATGGTATGATCAAAAAGATGAGAACTTGGTGTATAATTATGCTTAGGAAGCAATATATTCAATCTTTTATTTTCTTTACAACTTCAGTTTATAAGAAACAATATTACAATAAGAACATGGTTTGAATTATGCATGAAAGGCTAACAAAAATAGTCAGAGACCTAGGACGACCTATGTGGTATGGCATCATATGTATATGAAATATAGTCCAATGCTCACATAGATCAGCACAAGGAACTCTGAAAAACTCGACAATGAACATGTGAGTGTGTGTGCGTGTGTGTGTTTGTGTTAAAAACAGAACTACCTTCTCAAATAGATTCAAACACTCTTGGTTGTCTTCAAAATCTACTTTTGTCCAATCAATTCCATCTAATTCATACTCCTAAAAACAAAATAAACAAGTTGCAACATTAATATACTGAGACATTCAGTTGTCCTCATCCAAACACTGTTGATAACAGATGCAATTAAATTGGAACCTTTATTTACTAAGGTCATTAATCACAGATGCAAATGAAAGACAAGGGAAAAGAAATTAAGGAAAACCTGAATAGATGCAAATGAACTACAAATAATAATAATAACAATAATTGACTAACCATGAAAGAGATTATACAAAGCAATTCAAAATAACTATACCAATGCCATGACCCATGAGCATAACAATTCAGCGAAGTAAATACATTTCAAAATAATGCAAATAACCATGGAGGCATAGCAACATAATGACAATCATAAATGCAAAAAATCCAAGAATATATGAAAACCTAAAAGCAGACTCTAAAAACATTAATTAAAACAAAAGACCAAGTTTGAAGCCATGCTCTCTCTCTCTCTATTAATCTATAACTAAGCTTGTTTAGTGTCCCAAATACTTGAGAAATAAAGAAATAAAATTTCAAATCCAAATCGTTTCATGTAGTAATTTTCCCAAATTCAAAAGAAGAACAAACTCACAAAATTAGGCATAATCATCACAAAGCATCACCAACAAGAGTTACAGACAAATATCATAGGGTTGTGTGTGTGTGTGTGTGTGTGTGAGAGAGAGAGAGAGAGAGAGACCGATTGGGCGTTATGGTTACAGTGCCATTATGCTGTAGTATTCCTATCAAAAAAGGCATAGTTCCTACATATACTCCCCAAAAAATACTAAATGTAATACTGAAATTGATGTTGAACTGAGCATTCCCATAGTGAGCAGTTTAACAATCATCATAAAATTGGCATGTTAAAATTTTCAATGTATTAAACAAAATGATACGCTAAGACTTAACCACAACCAACCCCAGCCACACTATCCCCATCCCACCAATACCTCTTCTTCCATCACCAAGGTAGAGTTCTCATCCATAAGGCAGGGTAGAACCTCCATAGTTTAAACCTTGGTACTGAAACAAGCAGATTACATGAAACTCTTCTACAACTAAAATCTATATTGATTACATCTTCGTGTCAATGACTAGCCATTGCGAAAATTAATGAAAAGAATAGAGCACACATGCATGTACCATACATAGAAAGAAAGAGAAAGAAAGCAACTCACTTACTTTTCACAAGCACCCTTCCTAAACTTTTCAGCCTGACAAATTTTTGCACCTCTGTCACACCCTTCCTAAATGTAAATTTAACAATTCAAATTAAAAAAAAAAAGGAAAAAAAAAAACTAACAAAATTAATGTCCCCTATTTATTGTGTTTTCAACATTATAAATTGAATGAGTCAAGATATGAACAAGATATATAAGATATTGAATGAATCAACACTATAGATATATATATATATAGAGAGAGAGAGAGCAGTACCAGTATATATGTATATAGAAAGAACAAAGACAGTGAAATTTCTACCTTGGCCCCTCCTAAGTATAATTTCTTTGCGTGAACGGAAGAGTTAGATAGGATTCTCACAATTGATAATCTTATTTGGCAGCGGCAGATTATGGTCAATTAGTGTTGTATGTATCGTGGGGTTGCGGAGTCCTTGTCTCATCTTCTTCTTCATTGTTCTGTGGCATATCAACTTTGAGTGTTGATTTTTTCTATGTTTAAAATGGTTTGGGTGCAACAAGGAAGTGTCGAGGGTGTTTTTCACAACTGGAGGCCAGAGGCTTAGGAAGATGTAGGCTTTGGCACCTCTGTGTTTGACGTGGATGATTTGGTCATATCGTAATTGGCATATTTTTTAGGGGGTGAATGAATTGGTGGCTCGAATGAAGGATCGGATTTTGGTGATTTTGTACAGTTGGTTTTGGGGAGAGTGTCCTAGATTTGCTTGCTTTTGTGGATTTTTACATACTCTTCGTGCTTAGGTTTGGGTTTTCTATTGATTCTTTTTCATTGTATTCTTCTTTGTTAATAATAGACTTTTATTTGTCAAAGAGAAAATAAATATCTCTATCTTGCAACTGCTCTAACTTTCATAAGGGCACTCGTCAACAATCACTAAATGGTTGTAAATATCTTACCTACCCCAATTTTATGATGAAAGTACAACCCTTTTAAAACTTGATAACCACCGTCCGGAACTGGTTAATTTGCCAATTTTCAACACAATTAGACATAACCCAGGTAACTAACTATTCAAACTTTATTTATATGACCTTACTAAGATAGAAATAGAAAATCCAAAATACAAAATTAAATAAGCATACCCAATCCTTTCAAAGTAAAGATGCATCCCTGCACAATGCCAATAACCCATTACAAAATCGAATCAGACCCTAGCAAATATGGTTAGAAAAAGCAGAACCCTATTGCTGAAAGAGTAGCTTCTGTCAAGTTTCAAACCCATTTTTCAACCATTAATAAGGTGCATATATCTCAACTACTGATGAGACTAACAAAAACATTTCGCAAAGTTGGCGCGACCTCCTTTGCTTTTGAGAATGCAACAAAATTGTAAAAAAAAAACTTAAAATTCAATTAATAAATAACAACAAATTATTTACATTATCAATTATAACTCATTTCTCAATGATTAATTCAACAATTATGTTGATAGAATATATATAAAACCATCTAATTAATAGAAAACACCTATGACAACCTTACAGAAAATAAACCTACTTTGCTGTCCACATCTCTATGGTTATCAATCATTTCATCCTCTGTTATTAATCTTTCTAATTTTCTCACTTTACAGCAACAACTAACATCTATCCGATCCGAGTTTGGATAGAAAACAAATTAATACAGTTATTACATAACATAGGTTTAACTAACATAGGTTTTTGCATAGAGAAAAAAGAAAAAGAAAAAAACAATGCCTAGTAGCCTCATTGGGAGCTTAGCTGGTTTCTTGTTCTTCATCATCTAGGAATTGAAAGAAAAATGAGCATATTCTCAATGGTAGTGTAAAGAAAGAACAGAGGAAAGCTTAGCACATAATTGCATACCAAACATAATAATGAAATGAAGATGTGAACTTGTTTAATATATTCAATCTTTTATTTTCTTTACAACTTCAGTTTATAAGAAACAATATTACAATAAGAACATGGTTTGAATTATGCATGAAAGGCTAACAAAAATAGTCAGAGACCTAGGACGACCTATGTGGTATGGCATCATATGTATATGAAATATAGTCCAATGCTCACATAGATCAGCACAAGGAACTCTGAAAACTCGACAATGAACATGTGAGTGTGTGTGCGTGTGTGTGTTTGTGTTAAAAACAGAACTACCTTCTCAAAGAGATCCAAACACTCTTGGTTGTCTTCAAAATCTACTTTTGTCCAATCAATTCCATGTAATTCATACTCCTAAAAACAAAATAAACAAGTTGCAACATTAATATACTAAGACATTCAGTTGTCCTCATCCAAACACTGTTGATAACAGATGCAATTAAATTGGAACCTTTATTTATTAAGGTCATTAATCACAGATGCAAATGAAAGACAGGGGAAAAGAAATTAAGGAAAACCTGAATAGATGCAAATGAACTACAAATAATAATAATAACAATAATTGACTAACCATGAAAGAGATTATACAAAGCAATTCAAAATAACTATACCAATGCCATGACCCATGAGCATAACAATTCAGCGAAGTAAATACGTTTCAAAATAATGCAAATAACCATGGAGGCATAGCAACATAATGACAATCATAAATGCAAAAAATCCAAGAATATATGGAAACCTAAAAGCAGACTCTAAAAACATTAATTAAAACAAAAGACCAAGTTTGAAGCCATGCTCTCTCTCTCTCTCTCAATTAATCTATAACTAAGCTTGTTTAGTGTCCCAAATACTTGAGAAATAAAGAAATAAAATTTCAAATCCAAATCGATTCATGTAGTAATTTTCCCAAATTCAAAAGAAGAACAAACTCACAAAATTAGGCATAATCATCACAAAGCATCACCAACAAGAGTTACAGACAAATATCGAGGGTGTTTTTCACAGCTGGAGGCCAGAGGCTTAGGAAGATGTAGGCTTTGGCACCTCTGTGTTTCACGTGGATGATTTGGTCATAGCGTAATTGGCATATTTTTTAGGGGGTGAATGGATTGGTGGCTCGAATGAAGGATCGGATTTTGGTGATTTTGTACAGTTGGTTTTGGGGAGAGTTTCCTAGATTTGCTTGCTTTTGTGGATTTTTACATACTCTTCGTGCTTAGGTTTGGGTTTTCTATTGATTCTTTTTCATTGTATTCTTCTTTGTTAATAATAGACTTTTATTTGTCAAAGAGAAAATAAATATCTCTATCTTGCAACTGCTCTAATATGTATAAGGGCACTCGTCAACAATCACTAAATGGTTGTAAATATCTTACCTACCCCAATTTTATGATGAAAGTACAACCCTATAGTAATTAGGTGGGTAGTTACGCCCTAAATTCAGAGGCATTTTTTCTTTCAAATCTCTCAACTTCTAATTTCAGATTTTAAATTCAATCATACAGTTTACAATCTTATTGCTCTGAAATCTGAACTATTATAAAGAGGACGACAAACTTGGTGGTTATGTCTCATTTTTTTAGTTGTCACAAAATACCTTATAGCAATTAGGTGGGGTAGTTACGCCCAAAATTCAGGTTTTTTTTTTTTTTTTCAAATCTCTGAACTTCTGATTTCAGATTTTAAATTCAATCATAACCCATTTTTCAACCATTAATAAGGTGCATATATCTCAACTACTGATGAGACTAACAAAAACATTTCGCAAAGTTGGCGCGACCTCCTTTGCTTTTGAGAATGCAACAAAATTGTAAAAAAAAAAATTAAAATTCAATTAATAAATAACAACAAATCCCAATTTCCTATTGTTATCCCAAGTTTTCTCACCAATCAAACAAGGAAACAACAGAAGAAGAGAACTACTGCGCTTACCTGATCTTCAACAGAAAATCCCAACGACATCACTTTCTCTGCCTATCTATCTCTGAATCCGAAGCTCAGAACGCAGTGCACAGTTGGGAAATCAAGATCCTCAAACAACTACCTGATCCTCAAAACCAATCGGACAGAGTGAAGCCCTAGAATACCCACATCATATATATGCAATCATTTGAACCGTCTCAATAGCATACAGAAGAACCACACTGAACAAAAACTGTCCCCAAACAAAATAGCGAGAGAGAGAGAGAGAGAGAAAGAGAGAGAGAGAGAGAGAGATGAGTCGGCCTCACAACAGGGCTCATCGAAATCAAACCTGAAAATATTACCAAAAAACAATTTTTTAAAACTATTTAAGAACAAGGGTTTTGTGATTTGAGCTGAGAAAAGGCAAATACAGAGAAATGGGTTTTTGAGTAGTACCTGTGGAGAAGACATTGTGAGAAGTGGTGGAAGAGAAGCTTAGAGACCTGAGTGATGAAGTGGGTTTGGGGTGAGTAGAAGAATAAGGGTAATTGAGGGATAGGGTAATTGACGACGCTGCTCCGACGCCGCTCGCCGTCGATCGCGATAGAGAGAGAGAGAGAGAGAGAGAGAGGGGTGGGTAAGTAGAGATTGGGGATTTTTGGGTTTGACATTAGGGATTTTTTTGGCGGGAATGGGAAAAAGAGGAGGGGGGTTGTTAGGGAGCGGGAATGGAAAAAAAAAGAGGGGGAATAAAAAAAAAAATTTTTTTTTTTAGTCACAAATAAAATTTAAATAATAAAATAATATCGTTTATTTTATTTTTATTTTTTTTTTGCTGCGGGGGTTGACATCGTCAAAAAATTTTATTTCTTGTTAAAATATATATTTTTTTGTAGTTAATAAATTTTGTTAAAAAAATTCCTTTTTTTTTAGTTACTAAGATTGCAAATTTATTTGTTTCATTTTCATTTTAATGAAAAAAAAATATTATTATTTTTTATTTGGTAGAAGTAGGGGTAATATTTTAATGAAAAATATTTTTCTGAGGCCTATTTTTTTTGGTTACTAAAAATCATGAACTAATTTTTTGTGGTAGAGGAAAGAGAGCAGCAGTAGTAGTGAAGATGGTGGATAAGAGATGATGGTGGTGGTGATGGGGATGGCGAAAGAGATTAGTGGTGAAGTTGTGGTAGTGGTAGTGTAAATGGAGTGGCAGGGGTGGAAGAGAGGTAATTGTAGTAGTAGTGATAGTGGTGGTAGTGGAGTGGTGGTGATGATAGTAGTAATAGTAGTCGTAGAGGTGAAGTGGCGATAGTGGAAGTAGTGGTGGGGGGTGGAATGGCGTTTGTAGTAGTGGTGAAGGTGGTAGTGGAGATGGATGGTGAGAGAGAGAAATGAGTGAGAGACAGATAGAGGAGAGTGAGAGACAGAGAGTGATGAGCGAGAGAGAGACAGAGTGGTCGCTAAAAGTACTTTTTCTTGTAGTGGATCAATAAATCAAGAGGGAGCTCAGTAAATAGAGAGGATGAGAGTGAGAGAGTGAGCAACGCAAACACAGTGGGAGAGAGAGAGAGAGAGAAAGAAAGAGATAGAGAGTGAGAGTGAGAGACAGAAAAGAGACATAAAGAGAAGAGAGATGGAGATGAGCGAGAGAGACATAAAGAGAAGAGAGATGAACGAGAGAGACAGAAAGAAAGATAGAGAGAAGAGAGATGAACGAGAGAGACAGATAAAGATGAGAGATGAGTGAGAGAGATAAAGAGAAGAGAGATGAGCGAAAGAGACAGAGAGAGAAAAGAGATGAGAGAAGAGATAGATGAGTAAGAGAGAGACAAATAGACAGACAGACAGAAAGAGAAGAGTGATGAGTGAGAGAGAGAAAGAGAAGAGAGAAAGAAAGATGAAAAATGAATGAAAAGATATAGACAAAGAGAGAGAGAGAGAGAGCGAAAAGAGATAGACGAGAGAGAGATGAGCGAGAGACAGAGAGAGATGAGTGAGAGAGATAAAGAGAAGACAGACAGAGAGAGAAGAGAGATGAGAGAGATAAAGAGAAGAAAGATGGACGAGAGACACAGAGAGAGAGAGGGACAGAGAGACAGAGACAAAGACAGACAGACAGACAGAGAAGAGTGATAAGTGATGAGTGGAAGAGAAAAAGAGAAGAGAGACAGAGACATTGAGAGAAAGAAAGAGACAGACAGACAAAGAAGAGTGATGAGTGAGAAAGAGAGACAAGAGAGACATAGACACATAGAGAAAGAGAGAGACAGACAGACAGAGAAGAGTTATGAGTGAGAGAGAGAAAGAGAAGAGAGACAGACATAGAGACAGAGACAGAGAGATAGAAAGATGAAAAAATTGGTGAAAAGAGAAATGTTCGAAAGAGTAAAACAACGTCGTTTTTATTTTTTTATTTATTTTTTGTAACAGAAAAATACCGTTGCATTTATTTAAACCATTTTATGACCATATATATATGAAGCTGTCTTAAAGCCACAATATATATATATTTTTGGCAACGATACGTATTACAATCGCAAAAAACTTTTTTTTTTGCGACTGCAGTTGGTACCGTCGCAAATACTCTTTTTTTTTTTGCGACAGCAATTTCTGTCGTCGCAAATACTCTATTTTTTGCGATGAAAGTCACATTTTTTGGCGATGGCAAGTTGTGCCGTCGCAAAAAGTCATTTTTTGCGACGACAAATGTGCCGTCGCAAAAAGTTCCGTCTCATAAGCCCACTTTTCTTGTAGTGAGAGAGTGAGAAAGAGAGAGAGAGAGAGTCAGAGAGTGAGAGACAGAAAAGAGACATAGAGAGAAGAGAGATGGATGAGAGAGACAGAGAGATAGAGAGATAAGCGAGAGAGACATAAAGAGAAGAGAGATGAACGAGAGAGACAAAGAAAGATGAGAGATGAGCAAGAGAGATAAAGAGAATAGAGATGAGTAAAAGAGACAGAGAGAGAAAAGAGATGAGAGAAGAGATAGATGAGTGAGAGAGAGAGACAGATAGACAGACAGACAGAAAGAGAAGAGTGATGAGTGAGAGAGAGAAAGAGAAGAGAGACAGAGACATGAAAAAATGAATGAAAAGATATAGACAAAGAGAGAAAGAGCGAAAAGAGA